GATTTGCACGGACTCCTACAAGTGAAGGAGGTTGATGAGGTGTCCCAGGCAAAGTTGGCAGTGGCCAGAGTTCGGAGTGTGAGCAGGATGAGCACCATTGCAGACACTCGTGCAGGAATGAGGACGTTCTGCTCAGATGTTCTGAACTTGGATGCAGCCCGAGATGTGGTGGAGATTGCAGCACTAGTTGACACATGGGAATCAGCAAGTACCAGGGTGGCGGTGCGCAACAAAGCGGAGGCAGAAGCAGGAGTTGCAAGCATCCCTACAGCCTTGAATAAAGTGGAAGTGCAAGAGTTGATCATCAAGTTCCAGGCCGTGCACAATGTCAAGCTGGAGGATCGCAACACACCTGCAACTTCGACCCTCGAGCAGATCTTCGACCAGATGGAGCAGGGTGAATTGAAGAATATGAGCCTTGTGCAGTTCCTCAGTAGGGAGGATGCAGAGGCGGATATCTTGGGCGCCACCGTGGAACGGGGGACGGGCACGCTCAAGATCAAGAAGGGTTATGGGGAATGTCAAAAGCCCCGTAACCCAGAAAAGCTCCGCAAGAGGATGGCAGTTGTAGCCAACTCATATTTGCTTGCCCAGTTGAAATACCCACAGAAGGCAAGCCTACGAGATCTCCAACCTCAACACTTCCTCAAGTATTTGGATTTGTTGCTTGGTGACCATGCCTGGGGCTCAAGGCAAAAGGCAAGGATGGGGAGGTAGTGGCATCGCCGGACTTCCTTGTCCTCTCCTACGATTTTCAGATCAGACGCCAGATGGTGAAGCTGGTGAATGAAGGTGCAGTGTTGTCGGAGGCATTGAAGGAGGCCATGACAGACACCACTATCAAGGAGAGATACTTCTTGACGCCCAACGTGTACTCACAAGTGGCAAACCCCTCGGGCTCAGCACGAGCGGATTACCCGAGGTCACGGAGCCCACATGGCAAGAACACATGGCAGCCTGATTACTATGACGCCCCCAAGGGCAAGGGCAAGAAAGGCAAGGGCAAAGGAAAGGGGAAGAAGGGTCGCATGAACGACCGCGCGCCAGACGGCAGGCAGATTTGCTGGAAATGGAACAATCCCAGGGAGCGCTGTCGATTTCAATGTGGACGCCTCCATGTCTGCCAGATTTGTTTCGGCAGCCATCCAGCCCATGCCTGCGATGGATCGGGCAAGAAGGACACGGCCGGCTCAGCGGCCGAAGGAGGCAAGTCAGCTTGAAGCACAGAGCTGCGGGGGCCAGCCTCAGCCCCAATGGCAGCAGAGGGCACCACGGGAGGCACACGTCTTTGCCGAGTTCTGTACCTGTTCAGCGGGGCACAGCGGAAAGCATCGGTGGCATCGTTCCTACAGGAGCAGGCTGCAGGAGTCGGCATTCAATTCGAGCTGCGTGAGATTGACATACAGAATTCACCAGAGTGGGATCTAGCTGACAGATCCCTGCAAAAGAGGTTGCTGGAGGAGTTGAGGCAAGGCCACTATCATGTCGTGCTGGTCACACCTCCCTGCTCCACCTGGAGCAGGGTGCGAGGAGCCAATTGTCGGGGCCCACCTCCAGTCCGCTCCAGGGAACATCCCTGGGGCTTTCCATGGCTGTCCAAACGTCATCAGAAAGATGCAGAACTGGGAAATGTCTTGATTCAGTTCATGATTGAAGTCTTGCAAGTGCTCGAACAGCACCCACACTGCCAAGAAGGCACTCTCGTCCTGGTCTTTGGCGAGCATCCGGAAGACCTGGGCGCCATTTGGCGAGAAGAGGATGGCGTGAAGATGTTTCCAGCATCGATTTGGCAGCTGCAGGAGATACGGCAGTGTGCACAAGAGTCCAACAAGCGGGATTTTCACCATCGCCTTCAATCAGTGCTGTTGGGGCGCTCCCTATCGCAAGCCCACTAGGCTGCTTACCAACTTGCAGCCACTTCGCGCTTGGGGGCCATCGTCCTGGCCCACATTCGGCCCAGATGGTCAATATCTGGGCCCTGCCAAGGATTTGTGCACCTGTGCCCCCTCGGTCACCTTGGCACGGGCACCTGGTGATGACTCCTTTCGTACAACAGCTACATCTATCTATCCAGAAGCCATGGATCGTGCCATAGCTCACGCTGTCCTGCAAGAGCTCACCTCACATCCCCCTTCACCTAAAGAGGGGGGAGAAGATGTGAAGAGAGATGGAGGTGCACCTAAGACTTCTGTGGGGAAAGTGACGGAGAGCCCACAGAAGAGGCGCAAAGTTGAGTCTGGCAGCGCAAGTGCAACATTGAGCAAGGGAAGCATTGGGTTTGGCAGTGCAGGCAGTGCAACATTGAGCAACAGTGCAGGCAGTGCAACATTGAGCAACAGTGCAGGCAGTGCAACATTGCGCAACAAAGCAGGCAATGCAACATTGAGCAATAATGGGCACAGTGCAACAACATTGCGCAACAAAGCAGGCAATGCAACATTGAGCAATGATGGGCACAGTGCAACATTGAGCAACAGGCCGGGCTTGGGTCCACCTATGCAGGTGAAGTACAAGGGCGAGTTGAGGTCCATACGTGACGGTGCTGGTTTGTGCTCACCGGGGCGTTGGCCGGTGGGCAGAAGAACTGCGCCGCCCACTGAGGATGGCAAAGAACTGGCTCGATGGTGCTTCAGGACGTTTGAGGACTGGGTCGAGCTGGAAGGAGAGGAGAAGGCCAAGAGCTTATTCTGGCAGACAGCTGCTGGCGGGAGTGGCGGCACGCCCTTCGGAGGGGAGATCTATGGCTTCAGGCAGAGGCTGGACCTATGGCTCAGAGAACGGGGCGAGCGGCCTGACCGGAGGTCGCGCGACCGAGACACTGAAATCAACTTCAGAAGGCTCATGGCGGTGGCACGGGTGCTCGGCGACGAGGACCCGGACTTTCTGGAGATGGTGGCTGAGAGAGGAGTCCCCTTAAGGGGTAGATGAGGCCATGCCCCGGACACCGAAGGTGTATGAAGAGAAGGTCAAGTGGACGGTCGAGCCAACCGAGGATGACTTCCATGACACCTTGGCGGAGAACTATGAGTCGGCGGAGGAGAGCTCTGTCGACATCACGAGACAAGTGATGGAGGAGGTCGCGAAGGGCACCATCTTGAGGATGTCAGAGGATGAGGCCAGGAGGCGGTATCAGGGTAGGCTGGCAGTGGCCGCTCTGGGTGCAGTGCCTAAAGAGCTTGGCACCTCGCGGGTCCGGCTGATACATGACGGGGCCTACAGCGTCGACGTGAATCGCAGGATTCGGGTCCGAGATCGCATGAGGTTTCCGTTGATCGATGACGCAGCGGCTGTACTTCGTCAAGTGGCGCAGGAGAAGGAGGAGAACAACGAGGTCGTGAGGTTCTCAGTCCTCTACGACATAGCCCGGGCGCACAAGTTGATCCCTGTGCAGGAGGAGGACTGGGGGTACCAGGCCTTTCGCATTCCGGGGGACCCTTCTGGAGACGCTTTCTTGCACACGCGGGGCACCTGTGGGATCGCAAGTGCTGCCTACTGGTTTGGTCGAGCCATTGGGGTGGTGGTCCGGTGTTGCCACCGCCTCATGGGTAGGCGCATGGGGCTCCTGCATTTGATCTATGCCGATGATGGATGGTTGACAGCAACAGGCAACAAGTTCTGGAAGAAGATACTTATGTGGCTGTTCCTTTTCGAGCTTCTGGAGATACCCGTCACGTGGAAGAAGGTGCGTGGTGGTGCAGAAGTCGATTGGATTGGATACCATCTGGATGTGGCTGCCTTCACCAGAGGGATTAACGAGTCTAAGAGGACGTGGATTCTGAAGTGGATTGGCGACAAGTTGCAGCAGGGAGGCGTTCTAGGCCGAGAGTTGAAGTCGGTTCTGGGCAGGTTGTCGTTTGTGGCAGGTGCGCTACGACACGTCAGGCCTTTTCTGGCCCCACTCTTTTCCTGGTCTTCAACGCTGGCGGGGGGTACCTTCGCTAAGTTTCCGGACGCTGTAGTTATTCTGCTTGAATTTGTGAGAGAAGAGGTGTCGCGGAAGCCGGTGAGGAGCTTGGAACCTTTGTTGACCAGCCCAACGGATATCTTCCGGGTGGACGCCAAAGCCGCTGGGGAGGAGATCGTGATTGGAGGCTGGGAATCCTGGAGCGGCGCACCGCTGTCTCAGGCTCGTTGGTTTTCCTTCAAGCTCAACCGTCGGAACGCCGCATGGGCGTATCTGAAGGGTGACCCTTTTCGGTCAATCGCAACGCTGGAACTCATAGGAGTACTGGCCGCGGTGATGGTGCTGGCGCCTGACGCGAGTTGGGCAAAGGGGGACTCGACGGTCACCTTGTCGGCTCTCACGGACAATCTGGGGAACACACATGTCTTGAAGAAGTTTGCAAGCAGTCGCTACCCCCTTAGCATTGTAGCAATGGAGCTATCGGCACAGTTGGACCGCCGTGGGATTGAGCTGGATCTACAATGGGTCCCGCGCTGGCAGAATCAAGAGGCAGATGACCTTACAAACGAACGCTTCGACGACTTTGACGAGAGACGCCGCATCGACGTTCAGTTTGAACAGCTGGATTTCATGGTCATGGGCAAGCTTTTGGAGAAGGCGGGGGAGCTCGACTCAGAGCTTCGCCTGCACAAAACTTCGAAGGAGGCCAAGCAAGCCATGGAGAGACCCAGTGGAGAGAAGGTCAGGAGTAAGAAGGGACAACTTCGCTGGCAAGACCCTTGGTGAAGAAGGCGGGAAAGGGGGTCGTGTCGTGGAGTTTTCATTTCCCCTCACAGGTTAGTTTAATTGAGAGTGGGGTAGCGCGGACCTCACTGTAAATGACTAAAGTGGGGGACAGTGAGATCACGGTTAGGCAC